TCACGGTGGTCTGGTGTGCCTTTATTTCAGAGATACCCTTCACTTTTCCAGTGGGCTTGTTTCCATCAGGGAGCCCGCGACAGGCATTCTCTCTGTTGTTCACTTCTGGAGCTCAGGACAATGGCTTTTGTCCCCCTGTGCCTCTGCAGTGTGTAACCAAGTAGCTGCACAGCCAAAAGACCAGAGGCCGGGTGGGGGAGATTGTTGGAGGCGCCTGCACGGCCAAGCCGTCAGCTGGTGGGCCTGCCCAAGGGGATCCTCCTCACCCTGTCCTGGTGGCTGGTGGAAAGCCTGTCCTGGTGGCTGGTGGAAAGCTGGTGGAGCAACCTTTTGCCGTCTTCTGCTGCTATGAACTGTTGCCCCTCTGCCACCCTGTCTTGGAGCCAGCTGATTATGGACTGAAACCTTTACAAACTGTAAGCCAAATAAACCCTCTCCCCTCTAACTTTGGCTGTCAGGTATTTTATCTCAGTAATGAAAGAAAAGTAACTAACACCACCTGAACACAGGGTGCCCTTCTGTCTCCTGGAAATGCTCTATCACAGTGCTGCTCTCTGCCCCTGGCTGGGAACAGTCTGGCATGGAGTAATTACATCTTCCCAGGTCAGGAGGAGGATTTTAGATGCCACTCTGTGTTGGAGGCCACTCGCTCTTCAGGCCTGTCCTCCACACAGCTTGGGTGGCAAGAAGGTGCAGACCACATGTGCCTTGCAGGGACAAGATGGGTGGGCTGGAGATGAGAGCTGGAGAGACACAGAGGAGGAGCAAGGGGGCCAGGGCTGGGTACTCTGTAGGGAGCAGCGGGAGACTTAGCAACATGACACTGAACAGCCAAGGAGTGGTGGCCGCCCTCTCTGAGTCTGAGAAGGCCAGTCTCTGGTGCAGTGCAAGGGCACAGGCAGGATAGAGAGACCACAGGTACAGAGCCTTCCTGGGAGTGCTCGTTACAGGGAGCAAGTGACATCAGGGAAAGAGGCACGGCAGGGACCCTGGTGTGGTTTGAACTGCTACCACCACCCCCAGAAGGTCTACGATGTGAACAGTGCCCCTTGGATTGGTGCCTGGGACACAGAGAAGTACTGGGGACTTTATTGTGGGTCACAATGCACTTAAAAGTTTTTCAACCAGAAAGAAATGTCTCTGGAAAAGGAAACATGAATGATTTGCCAAGGACAGTTATTCTCCAGGTCATGACCACAGATCTGTTTTCCTGCCATGCTCTGTTGTCCCCTCTGCAATCCAGCATCATTCCAAGTCTGTGGTATGGAAAGGGTACCGCTACCCCCATCCTAGTCCCCAGCCTCGACATCCACCAGCAAGTGTTGTGCACAACTGCCTTGTTTCTTTCTGCACCACACTCTGCTTCCCATAACCAGTGTCACGGTGCCCCAAGAGACACTGTGCATTTAATCCAAAATTTCTTCCCTTCCTACAGTCTGCTGTGAAGCCTGTGGCATGCCTCAAGCTGATGGCGGGTCAAAATGAGGGCACAGCCAAGGATGTAGCTCAGTGGCACTCCACCTGCCTGGCAAGCACAAAGTCCTGAGTTCAATCCCTGGTACCAAAAAAAAAATGAGGGAACAGAAATGTGCAACCAGCCTTCGGCCAGTCACCTGCCAAGGTTGAGTGCCCAGCCCTCCACTCTCCACCCAAAATAGGTGTTCATATCTGGCACAGAAAGGACCATTGCACAGCCCTGGGCATCATGTCTGGCTCAGAGGAAGCTGGGACGGATCATCATATGTCCTCATGGGAGGGGGGAAACCAGAGCATGTGCCAGTGGGAATCAAAGATCTGTACCCTGGCGTCTATGAAGTCCAGTTTGAGTGTTTTATTTTGGTCCACTGTGATTCCGTGAAGCACACACTGCAGAAACTTTGAGAACACCCTGGTGGTCTGTTGTTTTGGGACCCCGTCCCCCAGGCACACACCCCATCAGTGACAGCCATGGCTCCTCAGGCAGCACTGGGGCCAGTCATCTTTCCAAGTGACTCCTAAAGGTGGTGTTTAAATACCATGAAACTGTTTGTATACATTGTTCTTCCCCTTTGGGAAAGTATCAGAAGGACAGAGGGTGAAGAAACTGGCTGCAACATCCCACATCCAGCACCACCCAGCGGGGCACTCCCTGCCAGCAGGGGCTCCCTGCACTGTCTCCAACCCAGGCTTCCACATCAGCTCCATCAGCCTCCAGCCCAATCCTTCCTTCCCTGCCCCTGCAGCACCAAGGAGAGGACAGGTATGGGGGTCAGTTGAAGCATGACGCCACACTCTCTGCTGGGAAGATGATAGTTCATGCCTCCCAGGGCCATTATGAAGACCAGCAAGTCCTAAGCCTCCCTTCCCTGCTTTCTCTGTGCTCAACCCTCAGCCTGCACTCTGCCCAGTCTCTTTTCCTCAGTACACCTCCTCCACCCACCACCTTGTAAGCGGCCCCTGGCAGATGTGTCAAAGTCCAGGTCTCTGAGGGTACTTGAGGGCACCTGAGGACACAATTCTGTCCTTTAGTGCAGGCACATGACAGACTTTGTTATAACAATAATGAACCAGCAAGGTCATGTGGCTGTTTTGTCTTAATGTATATCTCAGAAAAGCTGATAAAGACACCCAGCTCTTGAGCTCTGGAGCTGCAGCTCCAACTCTCATGCTCCAATGGTGCCCTGATGCTGGAAATTAAAGTGTGTTCCTGCTTTGTTGTGGTATCTGCTCCACAAACGTTCTTTTCTTTGGGAACCTTGCCTGACAGGGCCTCCCTTCAGCTTACGGGCCTCCCTTCAGCTTACAGCCCCCCCCCCCCCGCCCAGGACTCATGGCACAGCCCTCCTAACAGTCTCTGCCACCTACTCGATGGACTCAAGGCCTCACTCAGCAGCCACCCTGCCCAGCCTTGGGGCACCCTGCCTTTGTGCCCTAACCTTCCTGGTTCTCCCGCCTCAACCTGTCCCTGGAGGACCCTGGTTTTACTTCTGGCACAGGAAGGCATCCTGGGCTCTCCTCTGCCCACTTCCTTGGGAGGTGCACTCACACCTCCACTCCCACTGCAACTTGCAGATGAGCAAGTTTAAATATCCCTTGTTTCAGGCTAACGCCTCTGCCCAGAGCACAAACTCATTCCCAGTGGTCTGCTGCTCAATGTCCCTGTCCCCCACACCAGCGTCCCAAACCCAATTCCTTGTGTTCCTAACATTCCTCTTGAATGTTGCTATTTCTGTTAGGGGCACAAGGATTTTTCACAGGTCCCTAAACTGTGTTCCCATCCCCATCCCATGCGGAATCCTCTGTCAAGCTCAACAGTGCACCTCCTTTGCCAGCCCTCACTGCTGTCACACTGCCTCCTGCCTCTGGCAGAACTGGTATGGATAACCCAAGCTCACCTCCACTCTGAACCCCACCCTGCACCCTTCAGTCACTGCCCACCTGGTCACACTATCTTTGTGCCTACAACCTTCCTCCTCTCCTCTCCTGATTTCTATCAAATCCTGTTCTCTGAGCCATTGGCCCACTAATCACAAGTCTGCTATTGTCTTAAAGGCTATGTTGGAAGGTCTGAAATAATTTAGAAAATGTGATCTAATGGAAGTTAAAAAGTCAGAATGCAAAATTGTACATGCAATGTAAACATTAGCTTTGTGTTGGCAAATGTATATAATGAAATGCATCACTGTATTTCCTTAGAGCTGGGGGGTGGGAAATAGATTTTCTTTCTTTCCCCGTGTTTTTTGTAAGAGTTGAGCATATCTAATGCAAAACCCTGCAATCTGAAATGTTTTTCTTTGTAGTGCTGATGATTGAACCCAGGGCCTTGCACATTCAAGACAGGTACTCTACTATTGAGCTACCTCCCCACTCCTGAAATTGGAACATTTTGAGCACCAACATCACACCTCAAAGTTTCAGATTAGCCAGATGTAGTGGTATTTGCCTATAATCCCAGCTGCTTGTAGGATCATGAGTTCAATCCCAGCCTGGGCAACATAGCAAGACCCCATTTCAAAAAACAGTTTCAGATTTTGGAGCATTTTGCATTTCTGATTCTTTGAGGATACTCAACCAGAAAGTCTATGGAAATATTTCAAAATCCAAGGAACTCCAAAATCTGAAACACTTATGGCCTCCAGCAATTCAGATACAAGATACTTAGCCTGTACTCATAAATTTTCTTTTTCTATTTCATAATTTTTTCTTATTGAGCGTGTATAACTTTCACACTACCATACAAATCCGAAGTTGTCTGCTACAGGTCTGCAGCTGGGGTAGAAAGGGATAGGTCTGGAAGTATGGAGAGTGTTGGGAGGGGGCAGAGCACACCATCAAAAGTGTGATGTGTTTTGTATATTGCCCAAAACTACTAATTTTAAACTCAGATCACACAGGATAAAGAGCTCATCCTGACAAAATGAGAGAAAAGATGAAAAGAGAATCAAGTGACCAGTATGTGGGAGGATGATTTTGTTTGTGCAACCAGAAGGGCCAGCATGTCTGGTCAGCTATGAGGGGCAAGGGCAGTGGGCAGTGTTTAGGAGGCAGCTCCTACTTGCCTGGCTGGCCTTGGGAAGAGGCGTGACCGGCATGCTGCTGGGCATCCACTACCACCTCCTCTTGGGAGGAGAAATCAGTGGATTGCACTGTTGCTTCAAATCCTCTAAAATCACAGCTTTCTTAAAGGGAAATGCAAAGCCTGGCTCATTATGTTTTTGTATTTATGAAAAATTAAAAGTACCAGGCGTAGTGGCACACAGCTGTAATCCCAGCTAAGGCAGGAGGCTGAGACAGGAGGATCATCACAAGTTTAAGGACAGCCTGGGCTACATAGTGAGTTCAAAGCCAGCCTGGATACATGGTGAGACCCTGTCTCAAAATCCAAAGGAAAGGAAAAAAAAATCAAAAGTGAGCCTGATATGGTGGCACACACCTGCAATCCCAGCCCTCTGGGAAGCTGAGGCAGGAGGAGCACAACTTTGAGCCTAGTCTAGACAACTTAGTGACTTAGTGAGACCCTGTCTTAAAATATAAAATAAAAAAAGAGCTAGGGATGTAGCTCAATGCAAAGGCTCTGGGTGCAATTCCCAGTACCACAAAATTAATTAATTAGAAAAAAATGGATGGAAAATACTTAAAAATCAAAGTACTTATGAGTATTCCCACACCCAGCATTCACATTTCCTGAGCCAAAGAGATAAAAAGACATATGCTAAAAGGAAAACTGAATCAAACTGGCACCAACTCCAGCAAGGCTGAGCTACTAATATGTTAGGGAAAGGGAACTTTAAGTATAAACTAAAGGGGCTCTTGGCTGGGTTGATATAAATTATCTTCAAAAACCCAGAATCACTAAAAGGAATAGCTTGGGATAGAAAGTTTCCACTACTTCTAGACCAGTGGTTTATGTTTCATCTCAAATGCGTCATGACTGAATTAAGGAAGTCAGCCTGTTCAGAAGCCAACATACCAGGACACCTCTAGGGACAAATCAGAGCCTGAAATGTCTCCAGTGGCATCCAGTTTAAGAGAAATGAGGAGTTAAACAGACAAGACCAAGGATGTGCCTAACCGTGAACAACTAGGATTTCTTTACACATGGCTACTAAATTAGCAAGCCTGAGTTAACAGGATTGTCCCACTGAAACCTCACTCTTCTGTTCAAGAAATCCCAACATTCCCTTCCAACATCTGGATCCAACTGTGTCTCTTCCCATCTTCTCTCTCCGTCTCTGCAAACCTCCTCCCCAGGGGAACAGTCACAGGTGTCTGCACAGCCCATCTCCTGTGTGTCCCCATGCACACTTGTCGCTCCAAGACCCCACCCCTGAGGCTCAGGGACTGAAAGCTTTTGAAGGAACTTCCTTTCCTTCCAGTGTTTTCTCATTCCACCTCTAGAAGATACCTGATCACCATAAACCAGTCCCCTGATCCAATCAGAATGTGCTCCACCCACTCTTCACTCCTCTTTGCCCCAGATTCCTTGCCTATCTGCATTTCTGGTTGAGAGACCAGAGAGCAATATCATAGGTACAGAATAAAGGCAGGCTGGTTTGTTACTGGAAAAGGTGGTGCACTCCTGTAATCCCAGCACTCTGAGAGGCTAGGGCAGGAAGATCACAAGTTCAAGTCCAGCCTGGGCAACTTTGCAACTTAACAAGATCCTGTCTCAAAATATAAAATTTTTAAAAGGGGCTGGGGATGTAACTCTAGGCCCTAGATTCAATCCTCAGTACTGAAAACAAAACACATGTCCAGGCACACACACAAATGCACAGTTTACCTGAACTTACTACAGGCTGAGCATCCCTTGGCCAAAATTTTTGGAACCAGAAATGCTTCTTTGAGGTTTGAGATTTTTAAAAAATATTTGCATAGTATACATAAAGAGATATCTTAGGGCTGGAATCCAAGTCTAAACATACCATTCCCTTATGTTTCATATACACCTTTTAGCCGGAAAATGATGTTAGACAACATTTTTAGTGCACCTGTGTTCTAAGTGTGACCCGTGACTTGAGGTAAAGTGTGGAATCTCCTACTCCGGGCATCACACTGCTGGAGGCAGCTGTTTTGAGGGCACTTTGGATTGGGGCTTTTCATGTTAGGGATGCTCACTGTCCTTGGGACCAACATCATTTCTTAGTGGACTCTGCAGTTCCAGCTGAACAGTCTGGTGAAAACGTAAGTAGAATGACCCAAAAAGGAGTGAAGGGAAAAAGCACAATCAGGAGAAAACCAAAACCCAGGACAGTCAGTCTCAGGACTTGTATCCTGTCGAGGGCCGAGTCATTTTCCAACTTCAGAGAAACTTTCTGGGCTTGTCCCCTGGATGTAAAATGGCGTGAAAGTATTACACTTCCAGAATTTTAAATCAAGTTCAATCACACACACAGTGGACTCACAGTAACAACAGAGAACTGGTACCAGGACTCCCAGATACCAAAGCCCACAGATGGTACATCTCTTACATCAAATGGCACAGAACCTGTATGTATCCATCCAGAGTTTCAATCATCTCTGCATTACTTGCAGTATTTACTACGATATGAGTACTATGTAAGTAGCCGCTATATGGAATTTAGGGAATAACAACAAGAAAGTCTATACATGCTCAGTACAGATGTAATATTTTTGATCCGTAGTTGGTTGAATGCATGGATGTGGAGCCCATGGATATAGAACACAGACTATATTTAAATAAACTATGATATGTATACATTTTAACATTTTTTTAAATAACAAAATAATTTTTCATCCTGACCCATGCAGGTGACTTGCCCCAAACCGCATGGCTAGGGTAGGCAGTGCTCCAGGGTGAGGCCACTCATCCACCACAGGCCTCTTCTCCCTTAGCCCCCACCCCTGCCAAATTGTGGGTCCCCCTTCCCCATGGTGGGGATTAAACCTAGGGCCTTTGCACTGGGCCACATCTCTAGCCCCAGCTCCACTCATTTTTTTTTAAAAGTAGTCTTGCCAAGTTGCCCCGGCTGGGTTTGAATTTGGGATCCTTCTGCCTCCACCTCAAGTGTTGGGATCAAGGTGCACACCACCACGCCCAGCTCAAGTCTAACTATTCTTTAAGTCACTGGCTCTAGGCTTTGGGGAGTCACAGGCCTCTTTGAAAATCTGGGGAAAGCCACAGATCATCTCCCCAGGAAAAGAATGTGGTGCTATCTCTTCTAATAGATTGGGCTCATAACTTAAGGGGCTCCCTTCTAAACCTAAGCCTCTCCACAAGCACCCTAGCATAAGCCACTCTTCCACAAAATTCCTGTGACTCCCATGGCCCACAACAGTGGCATTAATTGTTGGGTGATTAAAAATGGATGGAGACCAGTTGAAGGAAGTAGAACATGGGAGTGGACCCTAAGGACTACATGTGTACTCCCCAGACCCTTCTCTGGCTCTCTTCCTCTTTTTCTGCTTCCAGCTTCCATCGGGTGAGCAGCTTTCTTCCACCACACCCTTCTTGGAGCCAGCTGACCATGGACTGTAACCTCTGGAAGCCATGAGCCAAAATAAATCTTTTTTCCTCTAAACTGATTGTCTCGGCTACAGTATTTGGTCACAGTGCCAAAAGCTAACTAACACACCCAGTTAAGTCATAATCCATGAGCTGGCTGTCATTGGGGTCGATGCCACAGGCACACAGCTGCCAAGCAGAACCATTCTGGGCTCCCAGAGGAGCAACTCGCGCACAGCCCAGAGGAGAGGTAGAGAGGCAGCTTCATGTGAGTGCTCCCAGCTCCACTATGGAGAGAAATCCCCAGGTACTCACCGGTATTTGAGTAATTCTGGAGAGTACTTGGACTTGGCTTTGAAAATCACCTGCAATGACAAATTTTAAAAAACACAGGTTGGGGTACAGCATGCTGACACCAAAATCCAAGACCAGTGCTCGGAACCCTCCCCCTTCCCTATACACCCAGGTGCTCAAGCACATTTCCTGAAACTGAGATGCCCACCTTGTACAAGCACATTTGCTATGCAGACTTTTTAAACTGAGTGTACAATTTTATATTTAAAAGTAAAGGTATTTAGGAATGGCTAAGATGGTTTTAAAAGAAAACAAAAGTAAAGCTGTTACTGATCTATTTGTGCTAAGCACTTCTCAAGATTCTTATGTGTAATCAACAGGCCTCCATTTCCATTAAGAATTTTTACTGGCAAAGCACTGCAGTTTGAATGTAAATGTCCTACATTCAAGGTTTCAAACTCTGCAGCATATTTAAAATATTACAACATCTTTGGAATACAGAAGTATCAAACTGGGCTGTTTTCTCGGGGAGAAATATTACAGACTGAAATTTCCCTAGAGCTGCAACTACACAATCGTGACAGCGCCCACACGTGGTGGGAGTGGAAATGGACAGGCGGCACTTTCGAGAAGATGTGAGGAGGAAGAAAGCAGCCACGCACTCGAGTGCCAGCTCCACTCCTCCAGCATGTGGGTCTCGCCAGGCTCTCGGGGGACCAGGTGGGGTAGGAGCATATGAGCTCCTGTGTGGATGGTCCCTGGGTCCCTGACATTTAAAGGGTGGTGGGGGCACTGGCAGAAGGAGAGAAGGGGTGTGGAAGAGTAGAGGTGAGATGAGCCAGTGAGGTCTGGGACCCACCGCCCAGAAAGTCTTGGCCCCCTGACCAACATCTCTCCTCCATCCCCTCCCTCCTGTCTACACTGTTTCTGTGTCTGACTTTTTTCAGTGCCACAGGGAAATGAGATCCTGCAGTACCTGTCCCCCTGTGCCTGGCTGATTCACTTGGCATCACCCAGGTCCACACTGAGTAAGTCTTGGAGAGCAAAAGTGCTATCACTGTGCTTAACAATCACACTGCCTACACAGTACTTGTAATTTGCTAAAGAGAGTAGATCTTGAAGAGTTCACACCACAAGAAAGGAAGTAACTAGGTAAGGGGATGGGTGTGTTAATTAGCTGATTATAGGAATCACTATGTATACATAAACCAAAATGTTACAGTGCACACCTTGAATGTACATAATTTTTGTCAATTATATCTCCATAAGGCTAAAAAAAGACAACTCACATTCCCTACTTGTGAGCAGACCATTCTCCATAGACTTTCCTTGTACCAACCCTAGGCCTCTGATGTCTCCCTGGACTCCCACTGCTCCCAACACACACATCCCCTCCCCCAAATCCCCAGTCACATGGCTCCCCTCAGCTTTCTGCACGTGGCTCTCCTCTCAGGGTTTGCTCGGTCTCTGCAAATATTTGTCTAAGGGACTGAACAGGGGCCGAGGTGACAGGACTGAGCGGCAGGCAGGGGACAGGGGCTCCTGTTGTGGGGGGAGGGGTGGGCAGCGCAGGGTCTGTGGTGACACATGGGGGTGGGGCGTGGCAGTGGCTGTGGGGTGTTACTCAGAGGTGTTACCTGTCTGAGGAGGAACAGGAGCAATCAGTTTGCTGGAGGGGCATCTGAAAGCAACCCTGGAAGTTCTTCAGGGACCCCGGTGCCTGTTGATGCCAAGGAGACTAGGCCCGTTCCCTGAACGCATCTACACAGAAGCTGCTCCCTGGGGAACCTTCTAGAAGACATTCTGAGGATCTAAGTAGTTCTCAGGCTTTCACAGCAGAGGAATTCACCCAGGAACTTGTGAAAAATGCAAATCCCAAGACCCCCTTTTCAGGGATCCTGGTCCAGGGGGTCCAGGTGGGGCCTGGAAATCTGCATTCCCATGGCTTTGGCACGATTCTCCCCAGCTAGCCCAGGGCCCCCTGGTGGGAAATTCTGATCTACACAGAATGGCGCTGCCTGACCCATATTCCTAAAGAGCTCTCCCATCATCACAGACCCCCCATCAGCAATCACACTCATCAGTGGTCCTGAGTCAGAGTAAGGAGAGGTGAGAATGTGAACAGGAACACGAGGGAGCCCCAGACCCTGTCCTCACTCAGGCCCACCTCCGACTTCCGTAACATGGCACACAGAGGACTCCAAGCCAAATCACGATGGGGGAGCAGGTATTCCCACAGGTTGCAGAGTAAGCACTGCCCCCTTTTCGGCCTCCTCGGGGCTCTGCAGGTGGGCCGTGCAGCTATATGGAAGAATTGTGTAGTTTCTAGCTAGGTACCATAGTACACATATTGTAATCCTAGCTACTTGGTTGGCTGAGGCAGAAGGATCACAAATTGGAGTTCAGTCTGGGCAACTCAGTGAAACTCTATCACAAAATAAAATACAAAGGGCTGGCAATGTAGCTCAGTGACAGTACCTTCCCAGCATGCATGAGGCCCAGAGTTCAGCGCCTACCACCAAGGAAAAAAACAAACCAGAATTATGTAGTTTCTGACATGACTTCATCTTTGCCCTAAACCCTCTTGGGAGTAGGTAAGAGGCAAGAATTTACACCATAAAAATATTAAACTCTTACAACCTCTGATAATATGAGAGAAGGCACAGTACCCCTGACATGGGCTTTCAGGCTAGGCATGTCATCTTTGGTATTTCCCTGCCACCCTGAAGGAGAAACGTTACTCACAACCTCTCCTACAAGCAAGGTATGAATTAGTATCTGATCCCTAAGTTCTGCTACAAAATAACAATCCTCCTGTTAATATTTGAGGATCTTGCTTTTAATCATTGCAAAACTTCTTCAAATTACCAGAGGAGGAGAAGAAAGTACACTATTTTTTAAAAAGGTATCTGACCTTAGCTGGGTATGGTGGCACCAACTACTCAGGAGGCTGAGGCAAAAGGATGGAAAGTTTGAGGCCAGCCTGAGCAATTTGTCTCAAATTAAAAAATAAAAAGGGCCAGGCCAGGGATTTAGCTCAGTGGTTCCGCCACGTACCCCACAAGCACAAGGACCGGAGTTGGATCCCCAGTAACAACAAAAAAAATTAAAAATAAAAAGGGCTGGGTGTAGCTCAGTGAATGAGGACTTGCCCTAGGTTCTACCCCCAGCACCAAAAACAAGTTTCCGACCTTGTCAGGGAAAAGAACTCAGGTCCTTGCGCTTGCGGGGCAGATGGCGGAACCACTGAGCTAAATCCCCGGTCCCACTACGCCCACGCTTACCAAGCAGTGTATGGCTCCCAGCATCACCCAAGAGGGCTTCAGGGGAAGGTGTGCCTGCCAGGGCCAGCCAGGGAGCCCCCTGCTGTGCACTCAGCTCCATGCAAAGTGCTGTCAGCAATGACAGAGACATCATGACCACTTGCCTATGAATGCCCCAAATGTATCTTTATGGCAGAGTAGTACTCCACTGTGTATAAATACATTTTCTTTATCCGTTCATATGTTGACGGGATATACTGTATACGCCATTTCCAAGATCTAACAATTATAAACTGTGATGCTATAAACATGGATATGCATGTATCATTGTAAGATGATGCCTTTAACTCTTTCAGGAAGTTATGTGGAAGAGGAATAGGTGGGAATAGGTGGGTCAAATGCAATTTCTAGTTAGTTTTAGTTTTTTGAGGACTCTCCATGCCGATCTCCAGAGTGGTTGTACTAGTTTACATTACCACCAAGAAGAGGTTTAGAAGTTATAGAAGGGTTTTTCCCCCTAACAGCCTCACCAGCATTTGTTATTAATTTCTTGATGATGGCCATTCTTTCTGGAGTAAAATGGCATCCTAATGTAGTTTTAATGTTAGGTATTTAGTAAAAATCACTGAAAAATGAAAGAAAAGAAATGCATGACCAGTCTGCCTTCCATGCAGCTGCAGGCCCACTGGAGAGGCAGGAGTCCCACAAGCAGCACCCAAGGTGTTGTTCCACAGGTCCCAGGTGAAAAAGGCATAGCACTGGCAAGTGTGGGAGTGACCTGCCATTGGATTAGGGCTGTGCATTGACCCTAATCCACCGTACTCTCTCCTTTGCCCTCCTGTAACCAAGAGCTGTGTCAGCAGCAGGTGCTGTGGGGCAGAGAAGAGCCAGTGTTCCCATCTGAGGCGGAGCCCAACCCTGGCAAATCACCCCTCGGCGCTCTAACCAGCCAAGGGTGGAATCTTCCCCTTTGCTGAGAGCTGCAACAACAGGTGAACGGTTCTACCGACAGAGTAGCCCAGCTGCCCCACACCCTTGCTCCGCCGTTTCCTGCAGTCCCTGGCCCCACAGCTCTGGCCACACACTGGAGTTGGCTGGTGGCCTGAGTGGAGTCAGGATTGGGGGGAGGCAGCCTCCAAGATGTTCCAACAGAACTGAAATTCATAATAAACATTAGAAATAAGACCATGTGATCAAACTTTAGAAACTGTCAGGAAAACTTTTTTTTTCCTGTAATAATCTCAGAGCCCTTAAAAGGCCAATATGCCTTCTTCTTGTGAGGCAGGGTCTTGCAAAGTTGCCCAGGCTGACCTCAAACTTTCAGTCCTCCTGCCTCAGCATCCCACGTGGCTGGGCTTAGAGGTCCTTAAAGTGAATCCTTAAACGTGAGTTCCTTAAAGTAGCATCTTAACTTCTGGCATTTGAAACTAAATAATACATGTATGAACTGACACCATGAGATACAATATGTGTCTATACCTGTGTCTATATAAATGTGTCTGTAATTTCAGTACAATTTTTGCCCTTGTTAATTAAAAGGCATAAATGTCTGAACCAAGTTTTCAAAAGAAAAATAAATTCAAGCTCTCCTCTTCACTCTTATGGTCTTCCAAGGCGCTTCATCAAAGACTTGATTAGTGTCCCAAGCTGGAGCTCCGGCCTGCCAGCACCTCTTATCCAGCTGCCCATCTCTGTCAGCCCCTCGCTGGCTCCCACTGACCTTAGCAAGAGCTCCATCCAGAGGAGGCGAAGGCTTGGAAGAGGGTGGAGTGGATTAATGACTCTTCCATATTTTACAGACCTGCTGAGAGCGTTGGGCCCTCCTGCCCAGAGCAAAACCCAGACAGACAAGAACAGGAGAAGCTGGCCCATGGGAGAGGTTAAGAGACCAATGAGGCTAGAAAACAAACCGTCTTGACCATCAGGGGTTCAACCCAGCTTGAGGAATACTGAGTACCTGACCCTGGGTTGGATTAAGGAGTTGTGGAAAATAAAGAAAAGGTGGCCCCTAAACTGGAGACACATACCGTCAGATGTGTCTGTAAATCACTACCAGTGGAGTCAAGAGATGGGGGGGGGGGTTGGACAGAGGAGAAGGGAGGGGAAAGTACAGGGATCCATGGCAGGGGAGGGGAGGGGAGAGGTGGTGTGCGCAGGCAAGGTGGGGAAGCAAGCAGAGGTGAGGGGAAGTCTGAGGACATTTGAGGAGGTCTGGGGAGGTGACTGCACCTGTGTCTGCAGAGGGGGAAAGGGCAGGGGATGGGTTGCTCAGGCAGGAGGAAGTGGGAGCCCGAGTCAGTTCTACACTCAACTCCTCTGTAAAATGTGTGCTGGTGACAGGCAAAAGAGGTCTTTCAAAGGTGCAGAGCCCTGGTTTTAACAACTAGGAGACCCCAGCAAGGCCCTGAGAAGGGCCCAGGCAGGGACAGGGAGAAGGTCTGATAGGAAGGAAGCCACTGGGCCAGGAAACTGAGACGGCAGGAGGGACTCCGGGAGTATGGTAGGGGACAAGGGATTGCGTGGGTGGTTGGGCCACAGGTTCCCAGTGCTTCTTGGTAGATGTGATCAGGAACTGAGCAGTGAGCAGAGGGCCTGGTCTCCTCCCTAGGACCTTCATAGAGCTTTTCCAGGGTCCCAGGGTGGAGAGAGTGCTGGCAGGTGGGGGCGTCTCATCAAAACTCAAGGTCAGCCCTGAGAGAAGTGCTCTCACTTGGCAAACTCCTTTTGATCTGAGTGTCATTTCTTCTGCTCCTCAAAGCCCTACCTAGCACCTCAGCAGGCCCTCACACAGGCCCACAGGGGCACAGAGAGGCCTGGCTCCTCTGGTAACTGCTGTGGCTCTGAACTGCAGAGGAGGCGGTGGGGCCAAGGAGACCCAGCAGTTTCCCACACTGTCCCCTACACTGTGGCCGACCTAAGGTCCTTGGAGGTCACCCATGCCCTCCACCCCACCCTTCCAAGTGACGCAAGAGGCCCAGAGCTCTGCAGGTGACATAGTGGTTTCCGCAGAAGTGGCTGCTGAACTCTGGCACCCACCCCTGATAAATCAGTCTGCTGACGCAGCTGCCTGTCCCACCCTGCCACCAGTTCCCAGCTGCTACCCCACAGTCAATCTTACTCATGTCATACTGGCTGCTGCTGGCAGAGAAGTCCAAGGCTGAGCTTCTGGGTTGTAACCACATCCCCTTGTGCATTCAGTGAAACCAATAGGAAACCTCTGCTGTCCCCGAGGGCAAGTGGGTGACTCAGTGAAGCTAGCTCAGTGCTTCCAGCCTTGCCACAGATTTGGAATTCCTTTCTGCAGCAGCTCCGCTTTGTAAGCCCCCTAAAACACAACCTTCCTAGGGGCTTCACGCCTGTGCCCCAACCTCCTGAAACATTTCCACAGGAAAGGACAGGCAAGGGGACTGCACAACCCCCACCCTCGGTAAGACTGCATCTCTCATTTCCATGCTCCTGGGTCAGCCTGTGGGCTGCGGCCTGAGGAGATCCTCGGAGTGACTGAGGGGTCTGTAACTGTGCACCAAGCACAGACTCAAGACCGAAGGAACTGCAATGTGCTGAGTTTTTAAATGCACATATGCAAACTCCTATGGAAATGTTACAAGTCGAAGGTAGATTAAAATTTTTTCTTGTTGCTGGATTGAACCCAAGCCTCATGCTTGCTAGGCTAGAGCTCTGCCACTAAGCTACACTCCCAGCCCCTTAAACTTTATATTATAAAATATTTCAGCTGGGCATGATGGCACACACCTATAATTCTAGTACTCTGAGAGGCAGGAGGATCACAAGTTCACACCCAGCCTGGTTAACTTATCGGCTTAACAGTACCCTGTCTTAAAAAATAAAAAGGAGCTGGGGATGTAGCTCAGTTCCATCCCCAATATCACAAAAGTGAATGGATGAATGAACATGTACACACAGGAAACAGTATCATAAACATTCATGTGCTCACTACTCAGTCCTGTCAGCCTGAACACTGCAGATTTGCTCCAACTTTCTTTTTAACAAATAAAAATGGTACAGTTGCCCTGAGCCAACCCTCCCTGGTTCCATTCCCTCCCCAGGATAATCACTACAAGTCCCTTTCCCACAGTTAGGGTTTGTTTCAGTACTGGGGATTAACTATGGCCTTTGCACTGAGCTACATCCCCAGCTCTTAAACTTTTTTTCATTTTGAGACAGAGCCTCACTAAGTCACTAAATTGCCCAGGTGGGGCTAGAACTAGTAATCCTTCTCCCTCAGCCTTCCAGAGTGCTAGAATCAGATGCATGTGTTGCCATGCCCACCCAGGTTGGGCTAGAACTTGCAATCCTCCTGCCTCAGCCTTCCAGAGTGCTAGAATCAGATGCATGTGTTGCCACACCCACCTATGGGTGTTTTTCTATCCAGGAAAGCTTAGCCCTTTACCAGGTATGTACATATTCATAAACAACATATAGACTGGCCTTGCATGTTCTGCACATCTCATGAAGTGTATGAGCATTTCCCTCAGCCTTCTGCAGCTTGCCTGTTCACCCACAATTATGTCTGGAACACAACTCTAGTTCCTACATTTTCACTGAGGCCCAGTATTCACCACCATCTAAACCAGCCACCAGTGCATATCCATCTCCCATAGAGATACACCAAAAGAGTATACAGTCTGGGGGCTGGGGATTTAGCTCAATGGTTATGCCACCTGTCTCAAAAACGAAAGGACCCAAGTTCAATCCCCGATACAAAACAAAAGAATACATAGTCTGAAGCTGCCTTCCCTGGTTTGTATCCTGGCTCTGCCAATTATCAGCTGTGTGACCCTGGGACAGTTACCCAACCTCTCTGTACAAGTATCTTGTAAGTAAAGTGAGATGGATAACAAGCACCTGCCTTAAGGGATTTTGTGAGACTGAGATGAATTAACATATTCACAATAGGGCCATAATTTGTATGTATCACCCATCGGGTGGATTTCTATTAATTTTATTAGTAAAAAGACTGATAAAAGTGATTAGATCCGTCTGTACCATGGTTGGTTCAAGGACAGTCATGCATGTACCACCAGTGGTTTAAGCGGAGGGAATGTGGTAACTGTGCAGAGTGCCTGGGAAAACACCTGCTACCTGTTAAGTCCTATGGAAGGGTGTGCTGCTCCTACCCTGTTGCTGCTGCTAGGACTGTCCTCATACTGTTCCCAAACCTTGATTCTAAATACACAACTCCTAGCCTGGGGTCACAGACACCTTCTTGACCATAAAAGGAACTGTCATAGCCTCCCCTCTGCTGCCCACTTCCTCACCTCCTGGGGAAATGTCAGCAACTCTAGGCCCTGCCTCTCCGGTGCCAGTCATCCAGTCAGCTGCTACCTGTTTCCCCAGGGCAGGGACAAGGACAGTCAGTGTCTCTGAAATGCAGGAGTCCCTGAAGAACACAGAGCAGCTCCAGACATCTGCTCTGAGGCTGCCTCTCCAAGACAGCAAGGGCAAAGGGTGCCTCTCTGTTGTCATTTTCTTTTTCTTTTTTTTTTTTTTTGGTGTGTGTGTGTGTTACTGGAGATTGAACTCCAGGCCTTTAACACTGAGATACCTACCCAGCCCTTCTTTTATTTTTTGAGACAGGATCTTACCAAATTGCCCAGGCTGAGCTTGAATTTGCAGTCCTCTGCCTCCCAAGTAGCCGGGATCACAGGCATGAACCACCACACTGCCTCTGCTGTTGTCAGTTGCTTTTTTCCTTCCAAACGTCAGATATGGACCACAGGTCCAGGGGCTCAGGACCAGGCAAGTACAGTAGCCCATGCATACTCCTGTGTCCACAACAGGGTTGCTGAGAGGCCTGCTGTGACACCTGGATGATTCTCCCCTGAGGACAGGGAAATTTTGAGGCTCTGGAATCTTTCTGCTCCCATCAAAGTGATCAGACAACAACAGAGGTAATAAGATAATAACATCTTTTGGTAACCAGAAAAAGCACAAAATGATTAACAGAATTCAATCCGTGGTGATTTACAAAGTATCTGGGGCATGCTGATCAATTTAACCAGACCTGCTGGAGTCAAATAACCTTGGCCATCAGAGACCTGTGGGCAGTTCCAGGAAGCTGTTCAAAGGAGGGAAAATTAAGGTATAATGAGGCACTCTTTTCCCTCAATGATGTTCTCTGGACAGCATTCATGATAGGAATATGGGTCACAACTAAACTTCCCATCACTCCAAAGCACTGCAGTCAGTACCAGACTGCAGAGCACAGAGTATTGCTCTCCAGCAGTGTGAGCCAGGCATGCTGATGGCAGTGGGTGTGTGGCAACACTGTGGGCTGACTGCTCAGTATCCTTTCTCTCCTTACCAATTTAACAGAATCCCACACTTGTCTGGGGCAGCATCACCTGGCTAAACTGCTCTCCCTCTCGGATCTCTTCTGCAGCTCAGGGGAGCCATGAGGCCCACTTCCAGGCAGTGGGACACAATCAGCAGTCTACTCAGAACACCTGGCTCCTGGCTACCTCAGCCTTCCCCTTCCTTCCTATTTCCTTGCCCAGAACGTGGGGTTACTCTGGGATGGAGCACCCCCTCTGTGGCCACAAGCTGACAAACATGAAGGGCAAAGTCACAGCGAGGGAGGGGAGCTCCCCAGCCCGGGGCCCCATGTTTCTTACTAGTGAAAAACAACACCCTCTCTGGCTAAGCACATCTGCGCGGCCTCTGTCACATGCACCCCACACCTTCCCCAGGGGCCAGCCTTCAGCACAGACCTCCACCCTGGGAGGGAAGATGGGACAGGGACAATGAATCCACAGCATTCTAAATGCCGCCAGGGCTGCTGTTATGTACAAAAGGAGTGTGTGTGTGTTGAAGCCTTAGTTTTCTTCCTTATAATATCCTTGGAGCTCCAAAGATGAAGTCATCCAGAGATGACCCATATTTTTTTAAAGCCACAGGACCCCAAGAAAGACAGGGAGCATGAGGCCAGCCCTTGTAATTCTGGAGTGCAGTGGCCTGAAGCCATGGAGGGCCAAAGCCCTGGGGATGAGGTGGCAGGGAGTGAGTCA